TGATGAGCGTGTCCTTTGGCCTTCCAGTTCATCAAGCGGTCTTCGTTCTTCTTCCTGGAATGCCTTTAAACTTTAAATTGACTAAAGTTCAAGTAAAACCWAAAAGTATTCGTTGTCGTTCGGCTTCCGCCTGCAAGTCTTCCTCTTCCTTGACTTTGTCCAGTTCGCGTTGCTTCATCATGGTCAGAAACTTGCTTTGCAGCTCCCTGCGGGTCGCGATTTTGTACTTCTAATCTTCTTCGGCGGCCTCTTCCAGTCCAGCACCTCTTCATCGTTGAGCGGCTGGATGGGACAGTCCACTCGGGCCATTATTTGCTCGGTCACGTCCTTGATCGAAATTTTTCTCCAACCGGAACAAAAGGTATTCTGGATTGCATCCTCCTCACAACGCGGCGATTCATATATTCAAAGTTCTAGAGGCTCTTAGAATATTGAAAGCTGTTTCATCGCGTGAAACGCTTTAAATTCATGCGCTCGAGTTGTAGCTGTTTGTCCGTTGAAAGTTCCTGTGGTTCTTTGCCGGTTGGACGATGCGAATTTTTTAAGCAGAAAGCGCTGTTAAAGCGTGCAAAAAATCAGACTTTTCGCAAATTTTTATGAACTTTCAGCGAATTTCCAGTCAAGTATCCGCTAAGGATTATGAAAATCTCAAAGTGCTACTTGCGGTGGTTTGAAAGATTCGGCTTTCTAAAAGAAASACCGCAKTTGAGTAGAGTTATCCATTAATAAACCGATATTTACCAATTTCGTAAAAATCGCAAGTTTCGCTTGATTTTGTCGARAATTTCAGCACCTGRCGARCCCAGTGTCTGCTAAAAATCGTGAAAATGTCCAATTGCTAGTTGTTTTCATTTGAGTTGCAATYTTTKAAGGGTGGAACSCAGTCCTGTAAAAAGTTTCATTCTGAAACTGATATTTGCCAAGCTRTAGTAAATCTAGCATCCAGTTAATATTTATAAAACTTTCACCCTTATTAAATCCATGCGTCTTCTACAGATGGAGCAAATTGCAAAGTCACAAATGCTTTAGTTTCGAGCACTGGCATTGTATTGTATTGTATGCATCTGTATTTACCCAGCTGGACAAAAATCAGGACTGAAGATTTTTATAAAACTCTCAGCGTATTTAAAGTCAAAAGTTTTCAAAAGATTTAGCGAATATCGCATTGTGACTGTCAGTTGAAAGACCCGACTGTTTTAAGGAGGCAACCTATTCAAGTCGAACATCAAAAAAAATGCCAAAAAAAACAAGATATTTGGTKATTTTTATGCAACTTTCAGCGTCTTTTAGAGTCAWYTGTCTTCAAACCATTGTGAGACTTCGAAATCGCTTCTTGCCCTGGTTTGGAAGATCCGAAGTTTTCTTTACGGAGAGAACGCAGTCGAGTCGAAACTGCCATTAATAGACCCGATATTTATCAAATTAGAAAAAATCGCGACTTTGGGCAACTTACATGAAAATAGTAGGCCGTCCCTCGCGTCAAGTGTCTTCTAAAGGTTGTCAAAATTTCAAATTTCCACTTGCGCGAGTTCCGAAAATCCTATTTTTTTTGGGAGGGAATGCAGTTCAGTCGCTACTTCCAAAATTAAGCGAATTTTTACCGAGCTGACAAAAATCAGGATTTTTGGCGATTTTTATGAAACTTCCCATGTCTTTCGAGTCAAATATTTTCTAAAGAATATCGAAATTTCAAATTTC